TAGCGTTTGGGGTGGTGATGTTATCCTTCAACATGGCCGGTGTAGCTGCAGTGTTCAGTGTGTATGTGGTTGGAGACACGATCAGCTGGGCTTACATGTGGTGGAGTTTCATCATAGCGGGCCTCATCCTTCTACTCACCACCTTCTTCTTCGACAAGGAGACTGTGGGACAGCGACTGGAGGACAATCGAGAGCAGAACCAGGACCGGGAGCAGGAGGAGGGGTTACAGTCCCCAAGGGTACAGGGGCCTGGAGAAACAGTCTCTAAACATCTAGCACAGATCACACCCCTAGATGGAGATCAGGTGGCACAGATCGTCTCTCAAGAGGGAGATCAGGTATCACAGATCGTCTCTCAAGAGAGAGATCAGGTATCACAGATCGTCTCTCAAGAGAGAGATCAGGTATCACAGATCGTCTCTCAAGAGGGAGATCAGGTATCACAGATCGTCTCTCAAGAGAGAGATCAGGTATCACAGATCGTCTCTCAAGAGAGAGATCAGGTATCACAGATCTTCTCTCAAGAGGGAGATCAGGTATCACAGATCGTCTCTCAAGAGGGAGATCAGGGGGCACACGGCACCTCTCTAAAAAGAGAACAGGGCACCCCTTTGAAGACAGATCAGGTAAAACAGGTCCCCACTCTAAAGACGGACACAGGCAACCCTTTAAACAGAGACCGAACTGTAAGCCACAGCCAGGCATCAACTGAATCTACTGTATTTGAGGAGATTCTTAATAGCGAGTAACGGAAGGATATAATAATAACAATAAATAATAAATATACAAAGTACAATAAAAGTTTCTGAGCCTACCAACTCACCATTTAAAAAATTAATCTTAGATTAATAACTGTCTTAATGCAAAAAGTTTTAAAAATATTGACACAGTTGAAACTGCTGAATAATTTTATTAATGTTCGAAAATAAATGCTACATTTAGCATTTATCTCAGACAGTTATATAATCATATTAGTCGCGTATTCAGTTGATCACGTCTTGATGTATTAAAACCTTCCTCTGTTGAGCAGATGGTTCAGGATTCAATGTTTTATAAGAATATCTAATTATAGACTGCGCGGATACTGTATTTATTTCGAGACATGGCATTGATTAATAATTGGTCGCTGCTGGAAGCGATATTAAGATCATTAAGACAAATGTGGCTTTATATACAGTAGATGTATACACATATACTAACTACTTATAACTTTATAAATGCTATTTTCAGCGTGGTTATTGTGAGAATCAAATAAATAATTAACTTTTGAACAGCAAATTTAAGACCTTAAAATGTTGCCTTTTGATTGGCGTAAAGTGTTAAAAACAGCATGGGATTTTACATCGGAGAACGTAAATTTTGATGTAAAAGAAATTAATGAAGTCGTTTTTGAAAAAATGAATTCTTTATTTTTCGAACAATTTTGGGTTTCAAAAAGTTGTAATCTTTAATGATCTGCTGCTGCTTCTGTTTTGGCAAGGTAGTCCTTGTTATCGAGCTGTTCTTGACCAGATCATTCTCCAACGCAGTCCTGCTCCTTATCTATATCTACACCCCTGAATCCTACCCCACCTACATGAGAAGTATAGCGTTTGGGGTGGTGATGTTATCCTTCAACATGGCCGGTGTAGCTGCAGTGTTCAGTGTGTATGTGGTTGGAGACACGATCAGCTGGGCTTACATGTGGTGGAGTTTCATCATAGCGGGCCTCATCCTTCTACTCACCACCTTCTTCTTCGACAAGGAGACTGTGGGACAGCGACTGGAGGACAATCGAGAGCAGAACCAGGACCGGGAGCAGGAGGAGGGGTTACAGTCCCCAAGGGTGCAGGGGCCTGGAGAAACAGTCTCTAAACATCTAGCACAGATCACACCCCTAGATGGAGATCAGGTGGCACAGATCGTCTCTCAAGAGGGAGATCAGGTATCACAGATCGTCTCTCAAGAGAGAGATCAGGTATCACAGATCGTCTCTCAAGAGAGAGATCAGGTATCACAGATCGTCTCTCAAGAGGGAGATCAGGTATCACAGATCGTCTCTCAAGAGAGAGATCAGGTATCACAGATCGTCTCTCAAGAGAGAGATCAGGTATCACAGATCGTCTCTCAAGAGGGAGATCAGGGGGCACACGGCACCTCTCTAAAAAGAGAACAGGGCACCCCTTTGAAGACAGATCAGGTAAAACAGGTCCCCACTCTAAAGACGGACACAGGCAACCCTTTAAACAGAGACCGAACTGTAAGCCATAGCCAGGCATCAACTGAATCTACTGTATTTGAGGAGATTCTTAATAGCGAGTAACGGAAGGATATAATAATAACAATAAATAATAAATATACAAAGTACAATAAAAGTTTCTGAGCCTACCAACTCACCATTTAAAAAATTAATCTTAGATTAATAACTGTCTTAATGCAAAAAGTTTTAAAAATATTGACACAGTTGAAACTGCTGAATAATTTTATTAATGTTCGAAAATAAATGCTACATTTAGCATTTATCTCAGACAGTTATATAATCATATTAGTCGCGTATTCAGTTGATCACGTCTTGATGTATTAAAACCTTCCTCTGTTGAGCAGATGGTTCAGGATTCAATGTTTTATAAGAATATCTAATTATAGACTGCGCGGATACTGTATTTATTTCGAGACATGGCATTGATCAATAATTGGTCGCTGCTGGAAGCGATATTAAGATCATTAAGACAAATGTGGCTTTATATACAGTAGATGTATACACATATACTAACTACTTATAACTTTATAAATGCTATTTTCAGCGTGGTTATTGTGAGAATCAAATAAATAATTAACTTTTGAACAGCAAATTTAAGACCTTAAAATGTTGCCTTTTGATTGGCGTAAAGTGTTAAAAACAGCATGGGATTTTACATCGGGGAACGTAAATTTTGATGTAAAAGAAATTAATGAAGTCGTTTTTGAAAAAATGAATTCTTTATTTTTCGAACAATTTTGGGTTTCAAAAAGTTGTAATCTTTAATGATCTTCTAGTCGTGTATGACAATGCTGGCAAGCATGACCGTCGCCCTTATAATCACAATACTATTTACCCCCTTTACTATTTACCCCCTTTACTATTTACCCACCTTTACTATTTACCCCCTCTACTATTTACCCCCTTTACTATTTACCCCCCCTTACTGCTTACCCCCATTCTAATTCAATGTTAAAGATGACATGAATAAGAAATAGTTATGTGGAGGTTTTTAAGAAATTTGCGCAAAATACGCGCCAGCATGTTATACGAAATTAGGTAAAAAACCCAAAATCGCCATATTCAGGTGCCTTAAAAACCATGTTAAAATTGAGTTAGAGATTTGAAACTTTGCAGGGTGTCTAGATGTTGACCAAATCGACTGTAAAAAAAGTTTCAAGTTTCAGGAGTATCGGGAAGTGGGTTTTCTGGAACCCCTGTTTTACAACAGATTGTCGTGAAGTATATCTATCTATGTATATAGACGCTTTGGCAGTCAATTTGGCTTAAATTGGAGCCTACATTCAAGTATCTGTAGATTCAAAAGTATAAACAATACAGTCATCTCCAACCATAGGTCTTGAAGATAATCGTTTACACTTTAGTTTACATTGTATCAAAAAACAATTTAACGTCATCGTCACCACTTGATGACGTTATCAAATTAAGCGTTTTATAAATCTTGATTATTGACAAAATAACAACTTTTCAAATCAATTTAAAACCGTTAAGGAGTAATTTTATTCAAAATCTGAGGAAATTTTCACCTTAGATAATTGTTCAAGCATTCTAAAAATCTACCGGAAAATGTTTCTACCTTGCTCCTTCATAAAGATATTTGCTATTGAAGTTAGTGCTTTTTTGAAGAATAATTTTATAAAAACACAAAAGTTGTGAATTAGTATTCTCTGATGTTGGGCCATCTCTTGGGTGGTGGAGCTCAATTTTGCTTCTTAAAGGTCTAAATTGTGTTATAGGCTAGTTTTAAAGTTGAAAATCGAAAAGTTGCACACGTGGGGACACGCCCAAATTGATAGAAAATTGCTAAAATCACTGAAAATTGTTATTTTCACGATTTTTATCAGCTTTGGAGTCCCGTTGTGATGCGAGTTCTTGCTAAAATATTTTGAAACTTTGCACACTTATTAAAATACATAAGAAATACGAAAATTCAAAATTGTACGGTGATTTGATATTGGATGCGCACGCAACGTCCGCTCAAAGTTTGCAAAAAGTGAGAACTTCACTCTCTTTATTTCGATTAGATTTAGTTCCTGCTTTAACAGTATCATGACAGTTAAATGACATTATATTTGAGTTTAATGCCAACTTGAATGATTATATAGTTGCATTATCAATCAGTGATCAACAGATATGCTTACCTAAACACAAGGAAATGTTTTTAAAGGACAAATTTCGAAGTTGTTGAAACTTCCTCCTTATTAATGAAGATATCAGTTTATATTTCGACTTTATAAAATACTCTGACATTACAATCAAAAAGAGATGATATTTGACCAAAACCCATAATCATGGGTAGAGTGGACCGCTGCCAGTGTCTCTCTTTCCCAAACAAAAGGAAATGATATTAATTTGACTGACCGTTCTCATATGCAAATTGATACCGAGAATGAAATCGGTCGCTCGCTTTTCCCATTCATTCACGGCTTACGAATTGTAATAAAGCTTATCGAATAGGAAAAGCGAGCGACCGATTTCATTCTCGGTATCAATTTGCATATAATGAGAACGGTCAGTCAAATTAATATCATTTCCTTTTGTTTGGGAAAGAGAGACACTGGCAGCGGTCCACTCTACCCATGATTATGGGTTTTGGTCAAATTTAGCAATTATAAGTCAAATTTTGGTCCATAAGAACATGATCAACTGTTTGGTAACGGTTCAATATATGCACTACAGATTCCATTTACGGTTTTAATAAAATAAATCATAGTGGTTGAACCAGGAGCCATGGTATAACAACCACACTGATATTGCATACCTTTTCGTCGATCCTATAGTTGTCAGTATTGTAAATAGAAACTGTGGGTCCGCTTCCACACCACAACCTATTATCACTGTAAGATATCTTCCGAACTTTCCTTCCTGGTAGACATCATTAGTTACTGCATGATTAACCGTAACTGTGTGATTTATAACAAATCACAAATGCAGTGTGATATACAGGAACTCTGTCATTAGAGTCACTGTGTGATATACAGGAACTTTGTGAATTAGAGTCACTGTGTGATTTACAGGAACTCTGTGAATTAGAGTCACTGTGTGATTTACAGGAACTCTGTGAATTAGAGTCACTGTGTGATTTACAGGAACTCTGTGAATTAGAGTCACTGTGTGATTTACAGGAACTCTGTGAATTAGAGTCACTGTGTGATTTTATACACGTTCACTGTTCAGTTAGATTAACTATTTACACACTGGTATTTACAACACGTGACACAAACCAACCAATCATAACACAGTATTTACACCACGTGACACAAACTAACCAACCAGAACAAAGTATTTTACGCACCGGTAGTGTCGATGACGATGATCTGGTAGTTGTCCATGTCCCAGAGTCCCTGCTTGTCCCTGTTGAACACCACAAGTGCCCCGTTGTGGAGCGACACGAACACGTGCGGTTCCACGTGCAGAATCTGTTGTACACTGCGGAGGGTTTTTATAAAAAGTAAAGTTCGTGATTGTGATTGCTCCCTTGGGACTACCCGTCAATACAAACTTTAATTCATGCTAGTAATACTGAATAGTGAGGTACCTGTCGGTGAGGTGTTGTGAGTAGATCTGAGTGAAGGGTTCCTCTAGCTCGATTATAAAGAGTCTCCCATCAGAAGTTCCCATCCAGCAGTGTGCTTCACTGCTCTGCTCTGTGCCGAACAGCACTTTCTTAGCTTTCACCTGGGGAGATGGTTAGGTTATGAGGAGGAATTGGAAAACTGTGTGATGGGTTAGATTTGGATGTAGGTGAGAGTAAATAAGGAGTTTTGAAAGGTTCTGTTACCAATAAACTATAGTATCACTTATATGCTTCAAGAACCCCTACCCCTACCCCTCCGCCTCCCCCAATCCTCAATTGACGTTTGATCTTACCTCTGGAGAGGTTCCAGTTGCTGAATGGTTGATAATAGCCATCGTTTGAACTTTACTTTCACAAAGGAACTGTGTTCTAGTTACCCGCGCAGGAAAGTTGAGATTGACGATGTGCAGAAAAGACAGGTTTGTCTCATCTACATAGGACACGGTCCACAGAAACGGGTAAAGACTGGGAATAGTGACAGTTAGCATGGTAGTATCACAGTGACATTGTAACAATTATGATTAGTAAATTAATTCAATTATAATTAGTAAGAGACGCACCTTCTTGAATTGTGAGACACTTTGTGTCTAAAAGAGGCGACAGGACGCTTTAGAAACGCGTCCTTGGTTTGCCGGAATAGTTCCCGTCTCATTTCTGCATCTTCAGCCGATTCTTCACGCTCTTCATTGTTTCCAGTGTCTCCATTTTCTTTAGGATCTTTAGCACATTCTTCATCATCTCCTGCAGCTTCAGCGCCTCTTCCACAGCTCTCCTTAACTTCGCTTCTTCCACAGCTCTCCTCCTCTGGTTTGTCTACAAACTCTGCCTCCGACACTTCTCCTGAGTTAATGAGTTATTCAAACAGAGCATACAAAATTAGTTTGCGATAAAACACGTTCCTCAAACTTTCAGGGGGGATAAACTTTGAACAAAAATCTCAATATAGCAGTTATACAAACCATGTGTCCTATTTTCCAGCGAGGAAGGAGTGCCGTGTTTGATGGAGTTTCTCAAAACGTCTTGTGAAAACAAACTCGCGCTCATACCATCTTCTGCTTTACTCGACACTCTCTCTGGGGGTGCAGTTTAATTATAAATACTACGGTTACGAAAATTTTATTAGATATACGATACACGGACCCGTACGTTACATCAGAACCTTGTTTCCGTTCGATATTGCTTGCCTAATGCCTAATGGAAACTATAGCTGCATATTAAAGCTTTAATGATGAAAAATGTTCAACACATAAGACTTACCGATAACCCTGGTTTCCAAAGCAACGCAGGCTAGTGGTTTCAGGGAGGACATGCAGAGCATGCCCAGAGCCACGTTTTCTGAATTTATCACTGCTTCCTCTATGAGGGGGAAGTGGGACTTCCCATCCATAGAGCGCGTGGAGCGCATAGAATTTTTACTTGACCAAGTGGAACCCCTGCGAAAGTTCACTTTACATGCTCCGGTTATTATCTTTTCTACCAAGTACCAAGGCTACAATTTGAATACAATTCTTCGCAGTATTTTATAAAATAATAACATATTTCATGTATCAACTTGGTATTGTTTGGCCAGCCAAAAGTGTCCATCTTTTAAGTCGTTTTAAAAGTGTGCTCCTTATATCTTATTACTTTATTAGTTAATTCTTAATGTTAGCGACATTAAGGTTTGAGATGCTCAAATGTGGATAACTTTACCTGGAGCTAGAATCTTTAGATTTGCTGGAAGAGTCTCGACCCTCAAAACTGGTTTTAGTTGCACTTGCACTGGATTCTGTTGACTGACTCCTCGTGGACTTGTCTAGCATTATCCTTACTCCTTGTTGTTAAAGTTTAGATTATATTATATTAGGACATAACATAAATTGAGAGAACAAATAACAATCAAAACCCCGATTCACAGCGAATCCTGATTCACCGCGAACCCTGATTTACTGCGGATGTTTCCTTCTCCCAAACCTCGCGGTATATCAGGGTTCCACTTTACTACGAAATACTACTACTTGTATTGGGATGTATTTACCTGAGAATCGAGGAAATGGCCAACGCGGCACAAAGCACGTGCAGATAACACGCTGTGGTCGATCGTCTAACATGAGTAACTTGCTATACAAAGGAATAGAGGGGGGCAGACCATTCGAGAATATTCCTGCAAAAATTGAATGTTAAACTTACTAATAGTAACTAAAGGATACTATCCCAAAATACACTTTTTATTACTTATATTTTTAACAGGCTGAAGTCGAAGGATGTCGATCAAATTAAAAAATACTATTATAGTAATCACAATATCCATGATTAGATCGCCAACACGGTTATTACATTTGTATTCCAATTAACCAATTACCCGCCGGAGAGTAAGTCCAGCCGTTTGAAATTTTTCTTGGAACAGAGCTGAGTTCTTTCAACTCCTCAATCTTTCGGGCGCTGTATTCTGATCCTCTCATACAAGCCCACTCTGCTATCGAGGTCCTCCGATTGAGTTCTAACAGCGAATGCCTGACGAAGAGAAAGTGAATTTAGGAATATCTGGTACGCTAAAGAAACTTGTCTTATCTTAACCAAAGTGTGCACTGTGCACCAGAATAGTAGTAGAATAACCGGCATAAAAGAGCGAATATAATGTAAATGTTAAAGTGAACTGTGACCTTACCCCAGATCCTTGCCTACAGCTCCACTTGTTGTCTTAGCTATAATCCCCAGAGCTCCAACTGATTTAGTGGACCTCCTTTTTCTGAGCGCAGCTAGTATGCGGGACACTATACCTGTGTTTAGGTGTTAATGTTAAACTAAACTTTCATTGTGTAGCTGTATCATGTGACCTGTGTCCTGTTACATTACCTTATATAGGCATCACGTGTACTGTTATACGTTTTAAATTGAGTTTAGTCCAAAAGTGTGCCAAAAGTGTTTCTCAGTTATATGTATAATTGTAGTGCTATGTATGTCTGGTGTCTAATCTATTATTTTCTGAATGTGCCACTATACTAGGACCCAGGTGTGCCTCAAATATGTATGCCTCAAGTGTAATCCCAGATGTGCTTAACATCTGTGTGATTTTCAAACTGTATCCGAAGTGTGCTCCGACACTCGACTGGTTTAAACTCTACTGTTACCACAGTTACAGCCAGGAACCTGTTACCACGGTACAACCAGCTAAATAGTAACCTGTTACCACAGTAACCTGCAGCTAAATAGTAACCTGTTACCACAGTAACAACGCAGAGTTTCTTTACCTCCAGTATTCAGATCGGTTTTGTGTTCCTCAACACTCCTCATAGTAATCATCTTCTGCAGTGACACTATTTGAGTTCTCATCTCTGTCCTGTCTCTTAACAAGGCTTCTACCTCTCCTCTCTTGTACTTCAATCTGGCTACTAGTTCCTCCGGGTCCTCCCCCTACAACATTACAGTTAGTTTACTTACTATTGTGTGTTTAACATAGAACTGTATCTTAAAGTCTTAACATAGCACTGCGTATTAATTAATATCCCGAATGTTATTTGACCGGACATAGCTTGAACGGACATAATTTTAAACGGACATGAAATGAACGCAGAACGGACATCAAAATGAATGCTATAAGAGTGTAAGGGCCTCTATAATTAATGTAGCTGTTCAAATAAAGGCCGATAAGGTAGTGTAAGAATTATATTATCTGAACCTTATCTTGATCTGGTACTAACCTCGTTATCTTCACTTTGCAGCAGATTATACAAACACTTCAGTCTCTCAAACTTAAGAGACATTTCCTTCAGCAGTTCTGACATTTTCTGTTCTGAAGACATGATGGTAGAGTAATCCTCCTGAAGATTAAATTATTGTTGTGAAAACCATGGTTAGTAGACAGTAGTAGAAAAACCGTGAGAATAAGTTGTTATCCCTTTATACTTCAAATGTATACGTAGTTTCAATTTACAAAAAGTGTATACAAAGGGAACTTGTACAATATTTCATGAGGTGTAAATTAATTAAGAATCTGTAAACATTGATGGGTAATACGTGGATATGATATTTGCCATACATTATCAAATAAAATAAAGATAACAGTCATTATTAAAGCAGGCCCCGGGTAACAAAACAACCAGATAGGTTACATTACCTCAAGACGCCTAAGTTTGCGTTCTGCTTCAGACTTTTGATCTTTGAGGGTTCTTTCGACCTCTAATGACTTTGCCTCTAGCTGCGTATACTTCGTAAGAAGAGTCTGCCTAAAGTGTTATTTTAATTTAGAGGAAGTTATACAACTAATAATACAGTATAACCACGATTTACTTCGTCCCGATTTACAACAAACCCCGATTTACCGCGAACAATTCCTTTCCCCAAACTCCGTCGAGGTAAATCGGGGTTAACTACAAATGATAATCCTTAAAATTGTATGTAAAATCTTGATCAAGAAAAGTCACAGCGATGACAAAAGATGATGCAGTTGCCCTGTCCTGGTAACTATAGTTGGTAACTGGAATGGTCGTATTCAAACTTACTTTTCCCTTATCAGTTGCATGTTTTCATCAAACAGTGTATCTGCGATAAATGTTGTCAAACAAAGTCAGGAATATGAATATAAATCAAGGACAGGGGAGAAGGGGAGAAGGGGAGAAGGGGAGAAGGGGAGAAGGGGAGAAGGGGAGAAGGGGAGAAGGGGAGAAGGGGAGAAGGGGAGAAGGGGAGAAGGGGAGAAGGGGAGAAGGGGAGAAGGGGAGAAGGGGAGAAGGGGAGAAGGGGAGAAGGGGAGAAGGGGAGAAGGGGAGAAGGGGAGAAGGGGAGAAGGGGAGAAGGGGAGAAGGGGAGAAGGGGAGAAGGGGAGAAGGGGAGAAGGGGAGAAGGGGAGAAGGGGAGAAGGGGAGAAGGGGAGAAGGGGAGAAGGGGAGAAGGGGAGAAGGGGAGAAGGGGAGAAGGGGAGAAGGGGAGAAGGGGAGAAGGGGAGAAGGGGAGAAGGGGAGAAGGGGAGAAGGGGAGAAGGGGAGAAGGGGAGAAGGGGAGAAGGGGAGACGGGGAGACGGGGAGAAGGGGAGAAGGGGAAAAGGGGAAAAGGGGAGAAGGGGAGAAGGGGAGAAGGGGAGAAGGGGAGAAGGGGAGGACTATATATTATACTGTGTGTCATTGACAAAGTTCTGTACCTACGCAAATATTAAAATTGCTAAATTATAGTCTACGTACCGTTCACACCCTCCGAATCATTATCTGAGGCATTAGTGTTGCTGAGGTTACTGCTACTGTTAGTCCTGCTAAAACTCCTCCTGGCTCTACTGTTGCGGACAAAACGCTCCGCTAACTTCATCTGTTGTTCCTCCATCACAGAGCGCTGCTCTTCGTACACTTCTAACTGGGGGAATGTGTGCAGTGTTAGTAGTGTAACTAGTATTTACGAGCAGGGGAGATTACTATAGTAACGTGTCATGGTGTCATGGTGTCATGGTGAGGGTGTCATGGTGGCGGTGCTAGTTTGCGTTGACATGGTGTTAGGTGAGGGTATTATGGTGGTCGGTAATGGTTCCTTGTTAGCTAGGTCATAGGTGAGAGAATATATACCAACCGTAGGAGGGAGTCGTTGGGAGAGGCGACGTATTAACAATTCCACGACTAAGAGAAGTACTAAGGCTAAGCCGAATACTGAAACTCCGAGTAAAAAGTCGCCTGACATCGCTTCTTATTTTCTCTCCAGCTCCTCCTCACTACAAAATCTTATTTCACCTCCTCCCTTATCTTTTTGCAGAGCATACGAAACAGAGTCACAGTAATAGTTCATTTCACTTTCACCCTAGCGAATCATTTTACAAACTCGCCCTTTATACTTCTTAGAATTATAAAAAGGACGTTCTAACACTGAAAACACAACCAAAAGCTAAGATAAAAGCTAAGACAAAAGATAAGATAAGAGGAGTAGAAGGAGCAGGCACACTGGAAGTGGATACACAGAGTGCTGCACTAGACACTTATATGAAATATAATGACCACCCGGGTGCTACTTGCACTACTTATTATACTATATAAGGTCTAAATATGGATCTCAATAATGCTTCTTTGCATAAAATGTCAATCTGTAGTTTAATAGTCGAAAGTTATTATACACACACACTCAAAGAATTTTATTGGGTTTTACGGCGTAAGTTACGTCATCGTTTAAGGTCGACAGGGGGTGAAATAGTTACGTTATTGGTGCGGACACGGATCTAAAGATAGGGAGTGTGTCGGTTTCTGTTGTTAAGGTTTGATGTATGACTGCGTACGGAGAGCATGGACGTAAAAAAGGATACAAAATTACATGGTAAAAAGTAAAAACATTATTACGTGACTTGGGTTTTTACAGTTTTGCAGCCGAACAAGACGGTTCTATGAAAACCCTAACCCTAACCACAGCCTTAACCACAACCTTAGGCTAAACCAAAACCCTAAGCACAACCCTAAGCACAACCCTAACCACAACCTTAACCACAACCTTAACCACAACCTTAACCACAACCCTAACCACAACCCTAACCACAACCCTATACGGATACCGGACAACTGATTAGGAATCAGTGTCGATTTAAAACAAATTTGGCGAGCAATCTAATGCAGGGAGTAAGTTTACTAAGTTACAACTGTAATGTAGGTGGTGGATGTGTAAATGGAGGAAGGTAGAATTATTTACCTGTGACTCTAGGTCGAGGATTTTAGTTGTCACAGATTTGAGTTCATCTTTCAATGAATTTATTTCTTTATCTTTACTGCCTGCTATTTTTTCTGCTCTGTGAACGTCCACTAAAAGTGCGTTCTTCTCAGTTTCACTTCTTAGCAGTTCCTGTTCCAGTTGAGTGTTCTGAAAAGTGAAAACATAGTCTTAGTTTGAATACGGACAGATTATCAGTTATCAGGGTATCTCTGGGTCCTATTAAAAAATATACCTAAAAATTCATAGTAAGACTGAAGACTGACGCTCACCTTCATTTCGAGCGACTCTGTATCACCAACATCACTGGCTTGTCTTAGTCGCTCATTGATTAATGCTCCTAAGTGTTGGAGTTTATACATATATCATCGGAACTGTATTTTAAAGATTGAAATTGTAAACTTACTTTTATAAGCATAACGTACCAAAGATCAGGATCGATTCATCTGGAGAAGATATCTCAGGAACTTACCTTCAAGATTGAGTTCATCTTGTAAAGATATCTCATGCTTCGGAATTTCTTCCAGCAGTGGTGGCGATCTTATCCTAATTTTTTTCACCTGGGCATTTTTTGTTAGAATGGGAATTCATCATTCGTTAATCTTAGATCTCTGATTACACAAGGACAAAGAAACTGAACACTTGTGATTTAAAGCGAGTTGCTGGTCCAGTCGCCCTCATGAAAATTGGCAAAGAAGCTATGACGACACTTATCCACCAGACGTAATCCACAGTGCCTCCACTCAAGAAGTTTTAAAAGCTTTTGATAATGTTTATCACAATTTGTCAATCAGAGGGCTCTATGGCTTCAATCCAAAAGTCATCGGAGCAGTGGCGTAACTTTGCCTTTTGGCGCCCCCCCCCCCCGCTCAGTGATGAAAAGCGCCCCCCTAAAATTTTTTGTGTCCCTAAAAAAATTAAAAAAAAAAAAAAAAAAAAAAAAAGTCGGGTACTTTTTTTCTCGCCCCCCTACAGCTTTTTGCGCCCCCTGAAGCAAAAAAGGGTACCCCAAATATTTTTTTCGCGTCGACCGAACGCTAAATTGGACAGGGAAATACACAAACAAGGCGTTTTTTCAGTGAAAGCGCCTAAAATTCAGGAAAATTGCGCCCCCCTTATACGGCGCCCCCCCCCCGCACAGCGGGGTCTGCGGGGCCCTAAGTTACGCCACTGCATCGGAGGGATTGACTCATAATTTTTCTCTGTGGTTACTCACTGTGTGCTCATCAGGTAGTTTTAGATTCAGTTCAGGGTATTTCTCTAATGATAGCCCCTCTGTCGTGAGAATGGTTTTTATTCTCGTCAGTTGCGACTCCAGGAGCTACAAGAAATTTGAAGTTAATGAAAGTATAGAATTAGTAGTAAGTAAAAAGGTGGTTATATTAATTAGATGTGAGATGAATATCTGTGGCAGACAGCAGTGTAGTGTGATTACAAAACGATTGTTTTTTTTATAACTGCAATTCCAATTATGTTTTCACGGAATTTAATTAATAGATGTAGTGAATTGTAGTCATTTTAAGCAGTTGTTGAGATGTAACCAACCAATATGGCTAAATAGAATATACCTGGTTTTCATCTGCGACACGTTTCGTCTCCACTTCATAAGTTTTAATGTCAGCCTCAGCCTTCCTGATCTGGGACTGTAGACTTTTGCTTGCTGAGTAATGCTTATTGAGATCAGCCTCCAATATCTTCATCTGTAAAAATAAACTTTAGTGATCTAGGTGACTTTTTACATTGTACTGGCACTGCAGCTTTATCAAAAGAGATGAATATATATATTATGCCTTATTTATATTTGTATTAATAAATTTGACAAGTTACATAGCCTGCGGCCACCAATGACGTGACAAAAGGTCCTCAGACCCCGCCATGACTTAATGTTCGGTAAAATTATAGGGGTGCACCAAAAAAATTAATAATAAATAAATTAATAAATGATTACGATTAAAATACAACAAAGGTGGATACAGAGAGGGTATGTGGGTACTTGGTGGAGTTGACCGAAACACAGGACAATGCTTCCTCCTCCCTTGTCCGAACAACAAACGTGGAGCAACTACTCTCCTCCCTCTCATCCGGCGGTGGATTCTTCCTGGGTCTATCATCTACACAGACGAGTGGGGAGCTTACAACACGCTAACAGCGGAGGGGTACACGCATGGAGACGATGAGGGTTTTACCAGCTTGAGTCCACTTGTCGAGAGGTGAGATAGGTTTGCAGATAGGGTCGCAGGTTAGGGCTGAGTTCATCCGTTTCGTTTTCTCTGAGACCATAGTTGTAGTTGTTCAAGAAGGAGTTGATGATAGAAATGATTGATGCAGTCTGATAATAGTTATTCTTTATATATTGCATGATGTGAACTGATCTCGTAAGGTTGCTTAATCGTTTAATAAGCCTTGACACCACCGCTGATTGGAATTCGCGTGCGATGATGTGAACCCTGCTTGACTCAGGGGATGATGTGAACACTGCTTGATTCAGGGGATACTGTTATTATACAGTAATATGATCTGGTAGACTAAGACAGTGGTCCGCAGACAGTGGTCCGCGGACCGTGGTCGGGCTATCTCGATACTGCCAAAAAGACCTGGCAGGGGGGGGGGGGGGGGGGGGGGCATGGTAACGTTACGCCACTGGCAACCAGTACTCCACATTACATGATTAGGACCTACAGCCTGACAGCCACTACTCAACAGCACATGCAGCCTGTCAGCCATTACTGACCTGCAGCCTGGCAGCCACTACTGACCTGTGCTCTGAGGTGGACTGACTCCTCCAGGAGGTCCTCCCTCTCCACCTTCCACTCCCTCCTCTCATTACACAACAGCTCGTCTCTTCTCCTCATCTCTTCTATCAGATCATGAGCTTCTTCCAGCTGTCGCGCTAATGCTGAGTTCTGGGGTGTTTTATTATTACCATTGTAAAATGTATTAGTCTACCTGACAAGAAAGAATCAGGAAATGTTTTTAATTTGACTAGCATTGAAGATTAGAATTCAAACTGCTTTAATGGTCCGGAATAAGGTGTCTTTTACCTCGTTATCCAGGATGTTGAACCTGTCACTGTACTGCTCGCTATCTTCTTCCAGTTTCTTGATTATCTTTTGTGTGACGTCGTTATCTTTTTGCTGCTTAACCTATACAAAACTAGGTAAGTTAAGTAGGTATAACATACTCTAAAAAAACTTGACTTCGCCTCTAAGAAATGTATCCTCACTTTATTATGACAATCTTAACTGCCGCAGACGGTAGTCTGCTTTTTTAGTTTACTGACCATCCTAACGGCAGAACTGAATTTTCGAGTGATGTTCCTGGCTTTCTTCAGGTTCTGAAGCTGCTCAGAGGACGCTGCCAGCTGTTTCTGCAGCTCCGAGTTCAACTTACTGAGACGCTGCATATCTGTTTCTCTTTGATCTACGGAGGAGGGTTTATTATCACCAGTATATTATCTCACTTCACTTATTCGTACCATACTTTTACGAACAAAGAAGCTGGATCACTACCTGTACTTCTTTACTATATGGGGTATAATTTTTGAAAAAACGTTTTATATATCATCTACAGATATCACTGTTGAAGTAAATGAAAGAAATGAATAACGTGGTGGACAGTGATGAGTGAACATACCTATTTTCCATTCAAAATCCTCCAATCTTCTTTCTAGTTGCTTCTTCTCCTCGTTCCATCTCCTTAATTCCGCCTGGTGTAGCGCTTCCAACTCTACAATCCTCTGTAAACATTAACCATGATTACCAAAGTGATCATAGTAACTATCATACTAGAAATCATGCAATTCTCTGTCAAAGTTGCTGTGAACTAATTTTCCTACCAGTTCAAGTGACTTCTTATGCTGCTTCAGAGTCTTGACATGGATCTCACTCTGTTCCCATTTCTCACGGTACTCCCCACACGCTACCTCCGTTTGTGCTAGATCTGTTAATACCTGCCAGTAACTATGGTTACTTTGGTTACTTTGGTTACTTTGGTTACTTTGGTTACTTTGGTTACTTACTACTCATTATTAAGGTATGATAGACTGACTAGCACTTTATAAGCTGTTTATAGGCTCTTTAAACACTGATATATGTTAATGTACCTTGTCGAAATCTCTGAGCAGAGGATCGAAGTTGGAAACTAGTGGAATAAGACACTTGCTCTCTTCACCTGACACGAGGATAAAAGTTATGGTAGTTCTAGTAGTAGAATAAAATAGTAGTAGGAGTGATAGGATAATAACACATAAGAATAGGGACTTTTTAAACTCGTTAAAAAATCATTCTTATCTTATTTTACTATTGAAAAATAAGATACACTATCGCGAATAATAACAAACCTAATATAACGACCACTGACTCCAAGTCTGTTTCGATAACATCTTTTCTTTCCCTGGCTAATGCGTTCTGCAGATCACATGACACCTCTTGGTAGACCATTATTTGTTATGGCAACCACTACATTACTGCGAAAAAGACGGTTTTTAGGTGAATGCATTTTGCCATTTCGCAGAGAATGTGTTTATTTGGATATTTAATATCAAGATTGAACATGTTTTAGCAAAAATTTCTTTGAACATGCAGACTGCAGAGTAATAAATTAACATGCCGATACAGTATACAGTGCAGTGAAACACGGCACTTTTATATACAGTGCAGAGAAACACGGCACTTTAACATACGGAGCAATGAAACACGGCACTTGAATTACCTAAAAATTAAAACAACAGCAGACCTAGGAGGAGCTGATCAATTGAACAATGTTAACGTGTGAGAAAATGTGCAGAACTTATTTGCAGCGCACCACCTGGCATCAGAAACTGTTAAATATGGGCAAATCATTTGCCATATAAGGAACATCTGACACCCAAATATGGAGACCAGCTCCATCGCGAAATAAATTGCAATATTTAAATATCTTAAGACTGGTATTGACAGCCGCATACAAACCACTCACTCCTTTTTTGGGTTTCCCAACAATCACAGCTGTATATTAAAAACTGTATCAAACTAATTAATAAAAGCATAAGGCGCTCTTGATAAGAATTTTAAATAAGTCACGTAGCCAAGGAAGAGCAAGCGAGGAGAACCGAAGATCGCTCTAAAGACAAGCATTTGCAGTTCAATGTCATTCCATTTTAATTATAGCATGTCAGTATTCATTATTCCTATTTAAGAATATTATACTCACACCAAACTGAGAACATTTTACTTTTGTACTGTGTTGCCTTGGTTTCCATTCATCAGAAAAGTAACGTTTCTCTCGGAAAATACATTTCGTAAATACGAGTCTTTATAACTAGCGACGAAATAGAGTTCTGAAGTGGACAATGAAGCTTGCTTCAGGTAGAAATGGTCACCGATCACCGTGGTTTCCACGGTAAGTATTTAGTTGTTGAGGCAGTACAAAATGCGAGAACAAATGTACAACTCACTGAGACGCTGGTTAACGTAATGAGGTTATAAGTTAAAGCGATATAATTACTATAAATCATCGCCATGCTCACTAGAGCCAGAGCAATTAACAGAATTTCTTAAAATACGTACCATTGAACCTGAGACACATTTTAATATTCTTTGTACTTGCCCCTACTTCGCAATTTTTAGATAATCCACCTTTGGACACACTTTAACGGATATTTTAGACCTCTATGAATAAACTATTTAAAAAATTGTAAAACTTATAAAAACAGCCACCCCATTTTATTACTTTACAAAATGCCTTTTTCCTCTTTCGATTTAGAAGAATGAGAGTTAATTCGAAGGCCATTTATCCCTAAATTTTTTCCGTCGATGAACAGTATGAAAAAGGTTGTGAAAACCGTTATTCAAGATGACGTCCGCGGCAGTAAGAACTTCATTGCCTTGTACCAGATATACCTTTTGTAAAGAAGTGGATTTTTCTGTAGAAAGCAGACTTGAAAAGGAGTTATTGTTAGCGATGGATGAGATTCTGAGGATTTCAAAAATTGAAAGAGTGGAGGTGACCAAATACTTAAATATGCTGAATTTAAGCAATCAGAAACTAAACCAAACTAAACAATTGTGAGCAAAAACTGAACTATACCGAATAATTGTGAGCAAAAACTGAACTATACCGAATAATTGTGAGCAGAAACTGAACTATACGGAATAATTGTGAGAAGAAACTGAACTATACCGAATAAGTGTGAGCAAAAACTGAACTATACCGAATAATTGTGAGCAGAATTTGAACTATACGGAATAATTGTGAGTAAAAACTGAACTATACCAAATAAATGTGAGCAGAAACTGAACTATACCGAATTGCTATCGGTTGAAAAATAATAATAACCACTGTTAGGAGCCGCACGAAACTACGTGCAATCACACTGAATATACGGCCTCGAATCACTCGTGTAGTGTTACGTGTAGTGTTACATGTACTCATGCGGTGTTACTAGTTGGCATGGATGTAGTTCTCTATCAAATGTTACGTTCAGTGTTACGATTTTCAGTAATGTTACGTTCAATGTTGTTATGTGTGATCAGTAATGGCAGTTGACAATAACATGCTATCCTACATGCTATCCTGCATGCATAGCAGGCCTCATCAGATATCTCCCCGGAATTCTCTTCTTGTTGCCACGGCCCAGAAGCTGCAGACAAAGCATCTGTCATCTACATGACATCATTTTTTAAGACATCGCATAATCCAGCCTCTCCTACTCTGCTTAAGATTTACAGGTGAAGAATTTGATTGTAATTCAGTGAGAGGTTAGTGATCAAGGTTAGGGACTTGGGTTAGCCTCATTTACAGAAGGTAGCCTTTTAAAGAACAACGAGAAAAAAGAATAGGAAAAGTGAGAAATTTGGTCGAGCGATTTATTAACTGCAAACCTTAAAATGGCTATAACAATTCTAATTGGAGCTAGATGCTGTGTTACGTAGTGCGTCCTGTGTCGCAATGAGTTCAGAGAGTTGATTGTGTGGATATTAGTTGGGGGCGTGTGTTGTTTCCGATACACACAATATTGCAGCATAGACAACAGCACGGAGTAGCGACAAAGCAATATAGCCATGTATAGCGCCTTAAACATCACAACATCACGTGCTGCACCGTCCTAGACACTATCTTGGGGTTAATTACTTGGGCACTCCATACAGGGGGCATGCACCGACACAGAGAGATAGAGAGAGATAGAGATAGATATATATATATATATATATATATAGAGAGAGAGAGAGAGAGAGAGAGAGAGAGAGAGAGAGAGAGAGAGAGAGAGAGAGAGAGAGAGAGAGAGAGAGAGAGAGAGAGAGAGAGAGAGAGAGAGAGAGAGAGAGAGAGAGAGAGAGAGAGAGAGAGAGAGAGAGAGAGAGAGAGGAGGGGGGTGTTCACCGACACAGGGGGGGGGGGGGGGGGGGGGCGGGGGTGTTCACCGACACACAGGATTCATTCACACAGGGTAGAACAACTGGTCGAAGGTTTGGACGTTTGACGACCACCATCCTGAGCATACGAATCACCCTTCCTAGCTCAAAGATCAATCAACAGTTGACACTTTATAGAATAATGCTCCGCGGGCGCTTCTAAAAATAAAACAATTGAATTGAACAATAGTTCAAGCTGACCAAATGTGGAAGAGCTTTATGGCTATAACGTTATTGTTGACTGAGACAATTTTCGATACGAGTCATCTTCGATACGTACCTCTGACGGTAGAGCTCCCGCTTCCGAGCTCGCACTACAATGGGGAGGCCTGCCTAGGCCGAGATCACATTACAAGGGGAACCCTCGAGTAGCTGGGTGGGTGCGGACAAATATTTTCGGCTAATAATGATCAAGGTAGCATGAAACGTGAGTACGGTACTTGCAAAACCATAGCAGAAGGTACCGTATATTAATTATTCGGTGGCATGGTATGAACAGAAAACTACTACTCATTTCTCAAGATGTAAATATAGTATGGATATATGTGGATATATGTGGATATATGTGGATATATGCGAATATATATTCTAAATAAATAACAAACAAAACATTTCTCAAGATGTCCACTACATGATGTTGCTCTACCACTTTGATTTATGTCCCTTAAGCGCTTTTAACTACAGAGTACCGTTCACCGAACCTTGACTACGGCTTTGTTAACAAAGTTTGGCCGGTAGACCGTAGAGGGTCCACAGTAGTCCCATTACCTTAGTATTGCTGTACAACTACTACAGAAAACTACGATAATGTTTATATATCTGAAAACTATAGGCAAGTAACAATTCGGATCAGATTTCCAATACCAAATACGTCAAATCTGTTATTCAGATTTCCAATTCAACAGTCGTTTTTTACCGGTAACTAGTAAAACCGAAAGAAAGGTCGCGTTATCTGCCAATAGGTACTGTGACATGTTTTATATATCAGCAGATGATTTAAATAGACTGAACTGCAAACTATTGTAATGAAAAACAAGAGGACGAGTAAAAGTGAGCTTTAGTACACACCACAATGATATTTATAAACAGTGGTTTACAATATTTATATACAATAACAAACAGTGACCAACGATGTACAGGATATTTGTATATATATATATATATATACCTCCAATAGCGTGGTTTAAGTTTCGCAGTGGCCTAAACCAGCGTTTATAGTTATCCATTGTTTAAAAGTTAAAAAGGAACAATTAGAGTCTGTGTAATGGTCTGTTGGACTGTACAGTGTACCATGGTGTCACCCTCTGTCCTTCTATGTTCTAAATAAAGTTACTCGGTTAATGTGGCTAGTTAGGCTACGTGACGTCATCATATCATTATCAACTCTGATCTAATATAGTCATGTTACTGTTAGTGTTGTAACAATACCACTTTCTAAACAACTTTTATTGGTTTAGATATTTGACCAAAACCCATAATCATGGGTAGAGTGGACCGCTGCCAGTGTCTCTCTTTCCCAAACAAAAGGAAATGATATTAATTTGATTGACCGTTCTCAAATGCAAAATGATACCGAGAATGAAATCGGTCGCTCGCTTTTCCCATTCATTCACGGCTTACGAATTGTAATAAGTTTCGATTGATTAGGTACATCAATCAGATGCTGTAAAAATCTCTTTGGGTTGCGTTCGGGTCGATACCTAGTATTTCGGGGTAAGGGTGGTAGTTATTACTTATTGAATTAGCTGAAGTTTATTGAATCTTTATTGCTGAGTACAGCTGCCTTTGGGTATTTCTTCTTAATCTATTACAATTGTAAATGAATGGGAAAAGCGAGCGACCGATTTCATTCTCGGTATCATTTTGCATTTGAGAACGGTCAATCAAATTAATATCATTTCCTTTTGTTTGGGAAAGAGAGACACTGGCAGCGGTCCACTCTACCCATGATTATGGGTTTTGGTCAAATATCATCTCTTTTTGATTATAATGTCAGGGTACTTTATAAAGTCGAAATATAAACTGATATCTTCATTAATAAGGAGGAAGTTTCAACAATTTCGAAATTTT